GCCTCACAAGCGCAAGGTCCCAAGTTCAATCCCTGGTTCAAAAAAAAAAATTTATAAACTGAAAGTCAAAGAATGGAAAACAATACTCCATGCAACAGGAACCCAGAAAAAAGTAAAGGTAGCTTTGCTATTTGCAGAAAAAATGGATTTCAAGCCAAGACTAGTCAAGAAAGAAAATGAAGGTCACTACATACTTGTAAAGGGAACAATCCAAAAGGAAGGGATAACAATCATAAATATATATGCACCAAATACTAGTGTACCCAACTATATTAAACAAATATTAACAGACATGAAAAATCAAATAAGCACAAATACAGTTGTCATAGGGAACCTCAATACCCCACTGTCACAAATAGACAGATCAACTAGACAAAAAATTCAAAAAAGAAATATCAAAACTGAACTAAACTTTTGAATGAATGGACTTAATAGATGTCTACAGAATATATTTATTCATCAGAACATCAGAATATATGTATTCTTCTCAGCTGTACATGGGACGTTCTCCAAAATAGACCACATACTAGCTTATAGAACATGCTTAAACAAATGCAAAGGAACTGAAATTATCCAATGCATATTATTAGACCATAGTGCAATGAAATTGGAAATCAATGGTAAAAGAAACTACAAGAACTTCGTAAACACGTGGAAATAAAATAACAACCATAAGAACAACCTATGGATCACAAATGTAAATAAAGAAGAAATTATAGTTTCTACAATTAAACAAAAATTCCAATAGTGCACATTGGAACTTATGGGATGCAATGAAAGCAGTCCTATCAGGCAAATGTATAGCAGTGAATTCTCACATCAGAAAAATAGAGTGAAGGGCCAGGAATTTAGCTCAGTGGTCCTGCTGCCTGCCTTACAAGCACAAGGGCCCGAGTTCAATCCCTGGTACCAAAAAAAAAAAAAGAAAAATAGAGTGAACTCAAATAAATAACCTAATGTTGACTCTCAAGCTTCTAGAAAAAAAGAGTAAGTCAAGCACAAAACTTTTGGAGGGAAGAAATTATAAAGAACAGAGTAGAATTTAATGCAATTGAAACTAAGAAAACAATACAAACAAATAATGAAGAGTTGATACTTTGAAAGATTAAATAAAATTGACAAACCCTTTGCCAACCTTATCAAAAAATTAGCCAATCTTACCAAAAATGGAAAGAAAAGACTCAAATCCATGCAATTAGAAAAGGGTGAAAACACAACAGGTCCTGCAAAAACCAAAAGATAATACCTACTTCGAAAACTTGTACTCTAACAAGATGGAAAACAGAAAAAAAAGGACAGATTCCTAGATACATATGAATTACCAAAGCTGAATCAAGAAGATATGAAATTCTAAATAAACCAATATCACTCAATGAAATTGAAGATGTAAATGAAAATCTACCAGCAAAGAAAAACTTAAGCCCCTATGGATTCACTGCTGAATTCTATAAGAAATTTAGAAAACACCTAATGCTGATACTTCTCAAACTCTTTAATGAAATTGAAAGGGAAGCAACACTCCCAAATTCATTCCTAGAACCAAGCATTATTGTGATACCAAAACCAGAGAAAGATCCACCCAAAAAAGAGAACTACAGGCCAATCTCCCAAATGAACATAGTCTCAAAAATCCTCAATAAAATACTGGCAAATAGAGTGCAGTAAATCATCAGGAAGGTTATATACCATGACCTAGTAGGATTCATCCCAGTCATGCAGGGATGGTTCAACATATGCAAATCAATTGATGTAATACATAATAATAACAGAGCCAAGAACAAAAACCATATGATCATCTCAAAAGATGCAGAAAAAGTGTTTCACAAAGTCTAACACCCATTCGTGATAAAAACCCTACACAACATTGGAATAGATGATCTTTATCTCAATCTGATAAAAGCCATCTCTGACAAACCAAAAGCCAACATCATACTAAATGTACAAAACCTGAAAGCTTTCACTCTAAAATCAGGAACAAGACAAGGATGTCCAATGTCATCATTCTTACTCAATATAGTTCTGGATACATTAGTCAGAGCAATTAAACAAAAGAAGTAAATAAAAGGAATAAGGGTAGAAAAGGAAAAAGTTAAATTATCATTATTTGCAGATAACATGATACTCAACATATAAGACTCTAAAACTCCACCAAGAGTTCTAGATTTAATAACCAAATTCAGTAGCATAGCTACATGTCAAGTCAACACTCAAAAATCACCATTCCTATACAAAAATAAAAAACTCACTGAGAGAGAAATTAAGAAAACAACAGCTTTCACAATAGCATCCAAAAATAAGAAAGAATGAAATACTTAGAAATCAAATATCAAAGAGCAGCAATTTTTTATCTGCAGTGATGGCAGGGAAAAGTTGATCCTTTTATGGTAGTGGACTCCCCAGGGAGGTTAGTGCACCATTTGTAGTGAGGAGCGTGAAGGGCAGGGGAGGGTGACGATTGGGCTAAAGCCACAATGCTGTGGGGAATGAGCTGGAACACTCCACAGCTGTGCACACAGTGAGACTTCTGCAAAGGGAGTGGCCATGTTATAGGCCAGACTTTCTCTATTTTTATTACAAGACAAACAAACTGTAGCTTCCGATGCATCTGGTCAACTAGCAATACTAACGCTGCATTATACATTTTGCTTTGGAAAAGGCTGACCCTGAAGAGCGGTGATGCCATCCTCGGAGACCCCCAACCGTTAAAGATATACAACTCCTTGGTGGACACCACCCAGGAAGCAGCGTCAAAGTCTCTCTTCTGACTGCCATCATGGCCAAGTCAGCGTCTCCTAAGGAGCCCGAGCGGTTGTGCAAGCTTCATCGGAGGGCTGAGCTTTGACACCACTGATGAGTCTGCGAGGCCACTTTGAGCAGTGGGGACACTCATGGGCTGTGTGGCCAGGAGAGAGCCAAACACCAAGCGCGCCAGGGGCTTTGGCTGTGTCACTGATGCCACCTTGGAGGAGGTGGATGCAGCCATGAATGTGAGCCCACACAAGGTGGATGGAAGGGTTGTGGAAACAGAGAGCTGTCTCCACATTAGAGTCTCAAAGACCAGGTGCCCACCTAACTGTGAAGATCTTTGCTGGTGGCACCAAAGAAGATACTGAGTGAGGAACATCACCTACGAGGTTATTTTGAACTGTGTGGAAAACTGAAGTGACTGAAATCATGACTGACCAAAGCTATGGAAAGAAGAGAGGTTTTGCTTTTATAACCTTTGATGACCATGCTTCTGTGGATCAGGCTGTCATTCAGAAATCCCACACTGTGAAC